CTCAGGGCACCATCGTGGACCAGCTTGTGCTCGGGATTGTCCAATTAGGAGATAGTGAAGATCTGAAGATGGAGATATTCACTGAGGAGTTCATTCATCAGACATTTCCTGTGTGCCTCTCAGATGCCAGATGCTGTACTAGCACCTAGGGATAGAGTAAGATACAAAATACTGTCCTAAAGGAGCTCACAGTCTAGCGTGAGAAACAAGCAAGCGAGCAGTTACCTGACTGTGTCCTGGGTTAAGGCGATAGCAGAGGTAAGGGTGAGCCATGGAAGTGGAAAGCAGAAGTGGCTGACAGCGGGGAGGCACAGCGTAGAGGCCAGGGGTGGTCAGCAAAGGCATCCTGGGGACAGGGTGTCTAATCTGGATGCTGAAGAATGAGGAGAGATGACCAGGCAGACAAAGAAGCAGGGCTAAGAGAAGCATTTCACCCAAGGGAATGTTTGCAAGTGGGGTCCGTAAAGGAACAAATTGGGGGACTGCAATGACTTTGGCCTGCCTGGAGCTCAAGTGCGGGAGGGAATGGCCAGAACCAGAACTGCAGATATAGGCATGTGTCAGGTCATGCTGGGCTTCACCTGCCTTCCCAGAGCTACCCAGTGGTTGTTGATCCCTTTTTAAATGGCAGAAACTTTTGGTCAAAACAGTTTTAGCCATCACGCCAGTTATAAAACAGTTAAAAGTGAAGCAGCTGTAGTTAAACTGGTTGTAAGATTAACACTTCCTCTCTAGGTCTCCCTGGTCACCCTGGAAGCAACTGGAACATTGTCTGAAAATCATGTATGGCAGATGACAATGATGCAGGTGGGGGGGAATGTGGCATTGGAGGGTTTTACAGGCAACGCCATGATTCCCTGGTTTCCAGTTTCGTTTTGAAGGTGAAGGGTATGGAAATGCTTGGTACATAGTAGGTACTCAGTGTGGGATGGGGAAGGAGTTTGGGGCCAAAGGTCCTGAGTTTCCCTGTAGACGGCATAGGTTAACAGTACTTTCAGAACATCCTCCTAGACCTAGCAGGCTCCTTAAAAACATGGATGGGCCCTGGACTATGGTGAATGCTCCAGATATATACTCAGGAGTGCTGATGTATTAGTAAGAACTGAAGTCATGGACTTTGGTACAATTTCCTAGAATTTTACAGAACAGGGAGAAAAAGTAGGCAGAGCCCTGGGGACCGCTGATAATCAAAGGCAGGTGGAGAAGCCAGGGAAGGGGGTTGAGAGAGATGTAAGGGAAGAAGGCGGCATCTCAGAAACCAGGTAAAGAAAAAATAAACATAAGCTTAAACATGTAATTGGTATTTAATAGTTGGTTGCCTGGAAATGAAACAGGAATAAAGGCATTTCACTGGCATAGCATATTCCTTTTAAAAGAAATCTGAAGCATACTTATTTTTTCCAGAAGTACACACCCTTTAATATATGAGTATAGATTAGTCTAGCAAAATAACAACAAGTGAGCTCACGATGTAAACAATATCATTGCTGTTTAGTGGAACTACTCGTCTCTCCTCTCCAGGGATAAATGAATTCTCTCAAATTTCTGCCCATCAGTCAAAATTTTACATTCAATTGAGTGTTCATTCTGAGTTTAAGATAATTCTCTGACTTCCAATGCCTAGAAAGTTGGGCTTTGGTAAATTGAAAATAATTTTTCTAAAGTGATGAGCTAATTTGAAATCCATATATTTTTTTCTTGTTTTGATTTTTTGCAGCCTAAATTGTAAGGCATATTCCTCTGATTGCACCAGTGTGTCCTGCTCCACTGAGGACAAGGGGAAATCTAAAACCATTCCTTATGGGGTGGATGCTGGCGCTCAGTGGCTGTTTATTGAATGAACAGATGATGAACTATTTGTCCCTCCTAAATATTGATTCACATCTCAAAAGAGTCTGTATTCAATGAAATGAAAAAGAAAACATTTTAAAACCCATAACTGAGTATTAGAAATTAAAACTACTGCTCACTCTTTGTCTTTGTTGTGGGTACAGTATTGTGCACAGAATGCTGCTCTCTGAAATCCCAGCAGAGCTACTGACTCTATAAAAGCTTCTTGAGGGATCCCTGGGTGGCGCAGCGGTTTGGCGCCTGCCTTTGGCCCAGGGCGCGATCCTGGAGACCCGGGATCGAATCCCACATCGGGCTCCCGGTGCATGGAGCCTGCTTCTCCCTCCGCCTGTGTCTCTGCCTCTCTCTCTCTCTCTCTCTGTGACTATCATAAATAAATAAAAATTTAAAAAAAATAAAATAAAAAAAATAAAAGCTTCTTGAGAAAATCTCTTCTAAAGAATAAGCAATTCCAGAGATTCACATTTCTCAGATTATTCAACATCTGGATTTAGTTTATTCTCTCAATAAATACTGATTGAGAGTCAACTGTTTGTAGACACTGAGAAAAATGCAGTGAATAAAACATTAGAAGATCCCGTCGTCACGAAATGTGCATTCCAGCCAGAGGAGACTGGCAATCACAAACAAGGACATAAAGTGTGTTAGTGGTGATGAACGCTAAGAACAAAAGTAAAAGGGGGAAGAGGGTAGAGAGTGATGAGGAGGCAGCTGCTGTTCTAGAGGGTTGTTAGGGAAGGACAGGTAAGCTAGAAGAAGACCTAGAGAAGGAGAGACGTCTGGGTGGAGAGGGCTGCCATATGCTTAGTTGGTCCCCCTACAGCTCACCCCGACCAACAAGGGGGTGAGGGTTTGGGGAGCGTGTACTCATAAATGTAAACAGCAGCCCAGCCAAGAGCCCTGCAGCCACGTAAACATTATGATATATAGCTTAGATAATACCTATTAAAAATCAACTCTTCAGTTGTAACTGTAAGACAGCTTTTGCAGGTGACTTTAAAATAAAACAACTTCCATTATTTAAAAATCCAGAATGGCAACCAGCTCTTAGAGATGACTAAAATGACCTACTAGTATTTCCGCCCCCTCCCCTTTTTGATGGAGACTTTTGCTCCCCTGCCGAGACCATGTATTATATCTGGTTTCACATCAAAATGAATTTTTGCTGTTAAGTTTGAAAAATGCCTGAAAATAGCAATTAATACTGGAAAAGCTGACAGAAACTTAAGTGTGGTGGCATGATTGGTGCTGCTATAATTATGTGCCTGAGTGTGTACATGTCTATGTAAACACAGTATGAAAACACATTTGATGTCCAGGACACTGTATCACTGTATTTTCTTGCAGGTAAAGGAGGGAAGGAGAGGGAGAGAGAACTGATAAAATCTTTCTGACACTGTTAAGTGGTGGAGATGTTTCTAGTCTATATCTACATAACCTTGCTTTTCAAATTATTTTCATATTTATCACCTCATTTGATCTTCACGACTTGCCGGGGTTGGGGGAGGCAGGCTTTGTTCTTCCCATTTGGTGAGTGAGAAACCTCCATGGGTCAGCTGGGGTGACTAAGGAGATTGGATTATGTCATCCCCAAGGTCCCTTCTAGCTCAACAGTTCTGTAGCTTTTCTTTTTCCCCACTTCTAATTTTCCTGAGGTGACAGCTGTGTAATGGTGGAGATTCTTTTTAAGCCCAGAACCCTTCCTGCCACATATTCCTCCTCATATTCTTTAAAGCCTTTGCTGCATGTTTAATCATCTGTAAAATGTAATGTCTACCGCACAAGGTGGTTGAGAAAATGGTTGATGGAATGAAAGGGAAGGCGTGTGAAGCACCTTACACAGTGGTAGCCGTTATTATTATTATTGCCGTCACTATTACTAATAAGGAGGCAATGTCGTGTGGTGGAAAGAGCGTCAGCATTGGAGGCAGCTAAGTGTCCAATCATTTGCTCGTTGTATCCACTTGGTCAACTATTCAACCGTTCAGAGCATCCCATAAAATGGAGCTGATGATACCCATATTGTTGGGTGGTGTGAAGAGTCAGTGAGACAAATAGAGCCCCTATCCCAACGCCTGACACGCACTGGATGCTCAATAAATAGTTGGCAGTGATAAATGAGAAACCACCTTTCGTAGGAAACTGGAATATATTTTCATGATTCCCGCAAAGCCCGACGTGGCATTTCATAGAAGTGAAGTATAACCTTGAAGTTAACAGAAGCATACAGTCAACTTTTAAACAAAAACAAAAGAAGATTCTGAAGTTCAGCTGTCCTGTGCATGTCTCGGAGGGCGAGGAAAGGTCCACATGCCCCCCCGGGAGTCAGCAAATGGACATCAAGGAGTTTCGCGTCCAGCGGTCTTCTGAAATCCGGTATATATCGTATTCAAGTCCATCCATTCTCCCCACTGCAACAATCTCATGAGGTTGTGCAAGTTTATTTAGAAAAGCCTGTTTACCCTCATTATACCACTTTCTTTGAAAAGCAGTCATTTGAGTACCGTGAGGAGCTGCTTTGCTCTAATGATGACTATTATGAAGGATTCAATGAAGTTGGAAATGAAGACCCTGTAGCCTTGTCTCTGACAGCGTGGTCACAGAAAAGCCTGTTGGCGGTACTGAAACATGAAAATTCTCTAATAGAGATTGCAGTCACTTGCCTCTATGGAGGATTTCTTGGTATTGAATTTCCAGGGTACGATAAGCTAACATGTATAAGCATCCGTTGCCACACGCCCTGGAGCTGTGTTGTGGACATGTTGGCAACAGCTAAGGCATCTCAAGGTGGGTGGCACTGCCAGGGACCAGTTACTCTAAAAGCTAGTTGATGGTTTGAACCACTGGACCCAAGAGAGGTGTGTGTTGTACAGAATACCAACTTCGAGCCACATTTTGTTTATTACATGCATTATTTGAAAAGGATAAAACATAGCAACGTTTGAATATGAAATGCACATATTTTTTCTTGCTTGATGTCTGTCTACCCTTGAAATTATTCTCACTGCGAATGTCCATCCTGTGTGGACATCTCAAGAACAATTGTGTTTCCTACCTGAGAGCAGTGCATTAAATGCTCTACCCAGTGTTTGTTATGTTTGGTTGCCTTCCAGTTCTAAAATGTGTGAATTTCCTTTTGAATGTTCTAGGGGAAAGCAATGGTATTCGCCCCACGCCGAGGGAATACTTTAAACCAGTTTTGCAATCTAGCTGAAAAAGCTGATTTCTCTATCCAAAGACATGAAAATTATGATGAACACATTTCAAACTTCCACTCCAAGGTTAGTTTTCTGCTTGTGTTAGATAACACTTTAATCCGCATTGCATTTTGAAGAGATCATGGTCTTTTTGGCAGGTAACCTAAATATTTGATTAAAGTACTCCTTAGGTGTGCTGCTTCTGAACAGCTATTTGTATCTGATTATTTTGTGTGGTAAAGCCATATTTTATCTTTGCATGTCTAGAAGGATTTTACAGAAACCATTCCTGTTTACTCCTTTCTCTGAAACAAACTAATCTTTTCATTCATAATAGACTAATTTGTAGGATGCAGGGGAGGTGGCATAGAATGAATGATAAACAAGCATTTATATTTTAATGAAAAACCTTCGGCTTTTAAGTAGGTTAACTGCTCAGCTGTACTGAAATAAATAGAAGGTGAATGTCTAATTGTATCATGTTGGACTGTAAATCTTTATCTCTGCTTGCTTTATGGCTGGGTCAGTTGGCAGTTTGAGACTGTTAAATCTCATACAGAATTTCACAGTTGTGGGGTTATATGTCAGATCGAGGAGCTACAAGATTTAGGTCAAAAGCACTTATCTGAGAGTGATTTCTAAGCTTGCTTACATAAAGCAATGTTATCAGCCTTTTTATTATTTATAGGTATAGAGCAATATAGGACACTGAGAGGCAAGCGTTCCACTGAAAACTTTTTTAGGAATCTCACCTTTGCTAATACATATCACACTTACTAATATAACATATATTACTTCTGTAATTTTGTGCCTTACAGAAATCTCCCTTCTCTGAGCTAGTCTGACCTTGGCAAAAGACTTTGAACTTGTCATGATTTTACAAGTCACGAATGCAGAAAAATAAAGGCCTGACCTTAATTTTCTCCTGGGAAAATGGGAATAGCATTCTTTATTATCCAGGACTATGATATAACGGAGAAGTATTTTGACTTTTGAAAAAATTATATGCAAAGTGGATCTGATCTTTGGGCAAGAGAAAGAAAATCCTCACTTTGTGGAGATGGGTTCACTCTTTTGGGGTCTCTAAGGTTTCATATAGCCACTCCCCTCCCCCGTGCAGGGGTGGACGGGGGTTGCAGTGATGCTTTTTGAACTGAAAGGGTAAAATCACCTCCTCTGGACAGTAGGATTGCCCTTTGCTTACTATCAGAAAATAAAAAAGAGAATGGCTTGTTACTCAAATCTTGCCTGCCACTCTAGAATGAGGCTTTCCCTTTTGCAACCCCTCCCCAGATTCAAAGGAAAGGCTCTGAGGGCTTTCTCTGGCAGAGGGTCTCTCCTGGCCCTGTGAGCTCCTCTACCCCAAAGGGACAAAAACAGCCTTCTCTCCTGGGTCAGGCTAGAGCTACAGGGATCAGGTGATGGCTGCTTTGATCCCATGTCTTCCCCCTTCCCCCTAGAAGAACAAATGCTTTCAGTTTTTCAGTCACAGATCAGAAGAGAAAGGCAAGAGTTTCTCCACCAGCGGAGATGTTCAGCAGTGATACCCCCCATCTCCACCCTGCACAATTGGAGGTGTTCTCGGGACATGCGAGTCCTTAGTAGCCACCTCCCCTTTGTCTAGAACTTAAGATTGTCAGTGCCAAAAAAAAAAAAAAAAGATTGTCAGTGCCTAACAGACAGCAACTTCCTCTTTTTATCTCCAAAGCAGTACACTACCCTGCTAAGCATAGTCCAGTCCATAAATCGCTCAAGACGCCTCTTAAGTTTATGTATTGTGCAACCAACCCACAGTTAGTACTCCATGAATAACCGTGGACTGACTGGTCCCACAAAAGTAAATTGCCACAATTAACCAGGTGGCCTTGGTTTCTCTATCTTATCAGTAATTGCTTAAAAGTTAAATTCTCCACTTGGCGGGCCTGGACTAAGAAACAGCCTCTCTCCTGTTTAGGTTGTGAGGACGGAGAGTTGCATTTGGCTCTCAGGGAGGTGGAACCGCCAGGGGAATATTCTGCAGGGTTGGGGCGCCCTGATGAACCATAGGAACAGGGACCCACGATGTGTATTTTTAACCAGGGGGTGGGGGTGGGGAGGCAGCAGCAGTTGCAGCCGGTAGGTGTCCTCCCGCTTCTAGCAGGAGAGTGCCTCTTGTCCCCCGGGTACCCGAAGCCTAGGATGCCCTAGGATGCCCGGCCCACCTGCTCCAGCAGCGCGGGTGACCCGGGGCCCACCGGGCCCACCGGGCCGGTGACAGGCTGGCGCGCCCCACCTCGCGCTCGCACGTGGAGGTGTCCTTTGCAGCCGCAGGATGCCCGGGCTTGGGGGTGGGAGCCCCCCGCGCTCCTGCCCCGGGGCGCCCCCTGGGGACCCCGCCCCCCGCCCGCCCGGGGCTCCGGGGGCTCCGGGGGCGCGCCGGGAACCTCCACCCGGGCCGCTTTTGTTTGCCGCGTGCTAATAGCCAGGGCTTAAAAGTTTTCCATCTTGCGCGGCAATCAGCTTTCTTCCTCCCCATCTCTGGCCAAAGCCCCACGGTCCCCGAGCCGAGGCTGCTCGCGAGCGGAGGAGCCGCGTTTTCCTTCGGGCTGCGTGTTATCCTCTTAGCCCTACTGTGTTGGAATAGAGCGTAACCAGCTGGAGGACTGTAAGACGCCTGATAATGCCGCTCTTTTCCGCTGTCCCGTCTTAATCTTGTTACACAAATGGTTGTGAAGAGATTCATGAATTTTAATTTTGCCCTCTGCATTAGCGCCTCACGTCACTCATACACAGCTGGCTTCTATGCCGAGTTTTCCACCCCTCCTCTTACAACAGGGGAGGGAAGAAAAAATTAGTTACAATCTTGGCAGTAGTGCAAGGTAAAAAAAAAAAAAATCTACAGATTTAGGCAACCACCCATGAAGCTGATTAACAGTCAGTGATCAGGAGGCACAGCTTTGCCTCTTAAACTTTTCACCCCTCATTGTTAACTGTGAAATTTTATTTCCGTTAAAAAGCAAGCCTGTAATCAAAACGGTGCCATTCTGCACTTTTCTGCCAGTGCTTTTGTTCGGTTGTGCCCACACCATGCAGCCAGCGTGCTCGGGAACCAGGCAGCCCAAGGTGGAGTGCGCTTGAGAAAGCCTGCCTTCCTGTCCTTCCAGGCAACGGGAAAAGAAAATAAAAGCACGTCCCTCTCCCACCCAACCTCTTGGCCTCCTCCAGGCTGGGACTCCAGTGCCGGGGCCCAGTGCTGTGGCTCCGGACCTTTAGAATGTGACAAGAAGCACACTGTCCCTCAAGGTGGAGACCTAAACTTGGCGATTGCAGCCGGCTTGAGATTAGTTGACGAAAACACTCCCGGCCGCGCCAGCATTCTCTGAAATATGATTTTACGTGCCCCGGTTCTGTTTTTGTTTTTGAACTTTTGCGAGGCCACCAGTGTGCTTCTGTTCTGTATTTTTTTTTTTTATGCTTAGCCATGAGAGCAGGCTTGGGCTCGTTGGTGAAGTCGGTACATTGTGTTAAAAGCATGGCCCATATTGCACTTCTGCTTATCTATTCAAAATGCCACATTACAAGTGGCTGGTGCTTATAATCTGTGTGGTGTGCTGTTGATAATTGTGGATACTGTAAAGGGTAAACAGTCTGAACTCCATTCCTGCTGCTGTTGCTCATGCAGCGCCGTGGCGAGGCTGAGCGTGTTACATCCAATTAGGAAGTAAAGCATAATGCTACTAATAGCTGCTATATAATTTAGTTCAGTCCTCAAAGACCCTGTTTTAACCTATGAAATTGAAAAATTGTTTTATTCACAACGTGCTTTTTGTTCATTTTTTTTCCCAAGGTGCTTTTTGTTTCTTAAAATTATAATTATTCATTGAGCGAAGAAGTACAGCCTGCGTAAAGGGAATTATTCTTAAACCGCATCACATTCCCTCATCGAAAGCAAGTATTTCCCAACAGCCTCGTTCGTGTGCGTTCGAGTGCCCTCACATAACAGACCTGGTGCAGAAATAATCTGCTGCTGGGGTAGAATATTGCTACTGAGGGTTGTCAGCCCTTCCTCATCACGGGAAGGGCTCACAGTCAACACGGGGCTGGCCCCTGGCCCCTTCTAGCAAGGAAGCCTCTGCTTTGGCCTCCAGAGGTCAGCACAGAATCCAAGTTAAAAGTGATTTCTAACCCATATTTGCAGAAGAATTATTTATCCCACATATTACCTCAGGGACTTTATAAAGAGCTCATTTGAGTCTCTGTATATTAGTGCATTGTGAGTGAGTAGGTCAGCTGACTCATGCTGAGTAATCAACTTTCCCTGATCCCCAATCCCTGAGGAAGAATTGAGCTAGCTTGGCCCCCTCTTCCCTCTGTAAAATATTTCAGTGAGCTCCTTCTATCACTAGGGCAACTGGCAACAAAGGTATTTACAGTTGGTAGGTCCTGGTTAGTGGGTTTGGATTGGGAAGTTTGTGAAGCCATCTTCTTGGCTTTTTTTTTTTTTTTTTTTAACAGTGATGTTAAGGGACCGTGTGTTTAGGATTAATACTGTCACGACTTTGGTGGTAAAAGAAATCCAGAGGATCTCTCTAAGGTGGACAACTAATCAACTACAAACAAAGCAAACTCCATCAAAGGAAACAGAATGCAGTTACTGCAGTGATTGTACCACCATCATTTCTTATGAACATGGATTAGAAAGTAAAGATGGGGTTGGCTTTTTATTCCCCAGGGAGAAAGGAAAAGCAGGCTCCTTGCTCCTTGTCCTTAACAGTGAGGATATGTCACAGTTTGGGAATACGATTTAGAAGAAACACGAAAAAATTCAAGTTATTATGCCCTAGACCTATACTAATCCAGGAAAATGTCACATTGGAACCATTCATTTCGTTTGAGGGGGAGGGGAAGTAATCTGATTCAAAACAATAAAAGAATTGGTTCCATGCATACTTAAAGGAATATTTGTTTTCTGATCCTTACCAATTTAAAAATGAATTAGCAATTGGCTCAAAAGCACCGACTTCAAAAACATTAATTTTGTCTTTATAAATAGCACATTATTATTTGCTAGGATAAATAAATACAAACATGACCGTCAAAATTCTTCTAGCCAAATAAGGAAAAGAGTACTCTAGATTTGAGAACTCTGACTGGATTTTAAAATCTACCCTGGAAAGGCCCTCAGAACTTCACTTGAATGGTGTGGAAGCTCTAATTGTTGACCTATGTTTTCCTCCTCAGAGAGAAATTTTAAAATTACCATTAATATTAAAACCCCTAAGAGGCAGCGGGAAGTCCGTCCCTTGTGCCCAGACGCTGCCAGTCTCCAAATGATCTGAAATGCCTGCCTGCCTTGCTCCAGGGGCCCAGGGACAGCGTAGACCAAGAACAGAAACTTCTATGCCAAATGGCTGGTCTGGTGCAGCTGAACGAGCCTCCAGCTCTCCCTTCACTGAAGTGCCTCACAGTTCACAGAGGTCACAAATGCAGTCTGGCTATTTATGAAAAAGCCCCCTGCCCTCCTCCTTACCCCCGCCCAAGGAAAGATTCCAGCTTGATGGATGCATAGTACTATCATGCCAACACCACTGAGAACTACTTTGAGTTGCTTTTTTGTGTGTGATTTATTTACTGGGACAATATATTCAAATAAGAAGTCTTCACTATACTCAATACTAGAAGCTACTGGTAAAAAAAAAAAAAAAAAAAAAAATCCTAATCTGAATCTCCTTACCTTTTTTGTTCTATTATTGTTTCCAGTTGAAAAAGGAAAACCAGGGCATCTATGAAGAAAACCTTCATTACCCACTTCTGCTTATTTTAACCAAAAATGGATAGAAGATTCAGCTGCTCAAAAGATGAAGAAAACACCAAGTTCACAGGGAATATTTTCCCCAAAACAGAAATCTGTGATGGGTATGATGTGCAGCGAGCTGTTGGCTCCCCGAGATCTGTGAGCACCCCCCACAACATTCGCCACATCCCACATGTGGGCTATAGGGTCCACCTGTCCTCACTCACATCATTCCCCAGCCCTCCTGGACTCCTCTTTTTTCATCTGCTCGTCTTGTACCAAACCTTTGTTTTTTAAATATCTACAAACAACCTGGGATTTGAATTGGACTTACACGAAACCTAATTTTTTTCCTCCTAATTGTGACAGAGTTTCTTTTGGTGATTCCCACCGCCCTTTTAAAAAAAACTATCTCGGTCTTTGTTCTATTCTGGTGGTGGCACTTTTAAATCTGTAAACAAAAGCAAACATCCTGATTCTTTCCTGGTTAAAAAAAAAAATTAAAGCATATCATTCTCATCTCCCTCAAATTAATTGTATTAAATCTGCCATCTTGTTTTTTCTGTCTCTCTCACTGATTCTCTTTTTTCCTTTTAAACAGGATGTTTTTTTCCCTATGGATGTATAAGAAATGACTACATCAGCCCAAAGCCTCATAAACTGACCGTTTGTCCTCTGGACACAATAGCGTGGCCAGCCCTCTGCTCCTCCTCTCCAATTATGTGTGATTAGTCTCAATGTGTTGTGTCAAGGAGGAGGAGTGTACTGAGTGCTTATTATCTGTTTAGGTACAAGAAGAGCACATTTAGGCTCTGACTATGAATGAAAAGTGAGCCTTTATCGAGGCTCACATCTAACTGCTGCTGTTCTCCAGACCTCTTTCAAAATAGGTCCTTGCCAGAGAAATTTTGAATAAATGGCTGCTAAACTAGATTGCAACCAGGGTGGGAGGGGTGAAGTTTTTAAAAACTCAATCACACAATGATCTGATTTAAAGGAAGTACATTTTGTTGTGTGCTGTGATTCAAGTGTGTAGTAAACATTTAATAGGTGCTACCTAGGATTAAGACAGAATGACTTTTCTGCAGGGAACCCAAGCATATCCTTGCCTGGTGCATCATCCACGAGGTGCTCTAATGCCTTTTGTGGAAATTCAGATGTTTATCTGTAAGGAATCATCTGTGCCCACTTTAGCAGTAATGTCATTAGTAGGATAGCTCTATATTCTCCTATCTTTAGTCGAGGCAGAGCGTGTATTTAGTGGGCTACAATTAAAGTGATAGGTTGGGAGACGAGGGAGCAAATCCTTTTGCATGTTAAACAAACTTAGCGGTCATAGAAACAGCCACTCTCAAATGTCTTCTCTGCTCACTTCTATCATCAAACAAATTTTTCACCATCAGTTTGCATGTCCTTGTATTCACCACTTTTTCTGCTCCATTAGAGCACCTAGATGGATCTCGGAAGGCATAGGTCAAGTCGCAGTTAGATCATACATTTCTTTCTCACAAAAACTTGAATTGCAATGCCAAGTGATGGGCTAACATCACAATAACAGCAATTTATTCCTCTTTGGATAAAACAGCAGTCTATTCTCAGTGCTAGATAAAGACCAGGGCAATGCAAACCAGCCATTTAGCTGAGTAGTTCAGCTAGTGGCAGCTCTCCTTTGGCGACTGTATAGGTTGCACACTGGCTTCATATTTTCTTGTTTAAAAATTAGAATTTGGAATGTTTTAAAAGGCAGCGCAGGTAGTTCCATTTACCGGTGAAAAGACAGCAGAAATTATTTCTTCTGTAAAACCTGCAACTAAATCTGCCAGACAAAGAAAACCCATCCCTCTAGTAGCACCTAAGATGGTCTGTTCTTTTTCTTTTAAAATGCAGTGAATATTTTCAGTTTTTTTTCTCACGAAAATACATGAATTGGCAAGAATTTAATTTGCGCTTGTGTATGCCGTGGGTGTAGAAATCCAGTGTTTATTTCTTTGGGAGAATTTTTATTTTTAAAAAGTGAGCTAGTAGTAATGTATTTAAAAAAAAAAAAAGCTGAGAATGGTATGTATAGTTTCTTAAGCTTGAGTCAGGGTGTAAGAATTGAGCTGTTCTTACCAAGAGATACCCAGTAAAGAAATACGCTTATTGTGTGACAAACCCAGAGAGTCTCCTGTAAAATGTTAAAGGTTTTGTAGAGCTGCTCTTAATGGGATCCTCACCTGGAAAGATCTCTCGTCCAGGCTGTTTGGAAGTTTATGAGAAACTCACACTGTCTATTATTAAATCATTTAAAAGTGTTGCTATTTTCTCAAATTTTAATGAAATGCCAATATTGAGAAGGAAAAAAAATATATAGCTGCTTAAGAAAAGTTACCATCTTCATTTCCTTTGAACTTTATGATTAAGAATTGTTTCTATGCGTCACTGTTGGATTATATAATTGCAACTGAAATACCCCCTTCCTAATTACCTGCTAGGTAATTATGCATGTGTTTGTTTCAAAAGGAAGCCTGTCCGCTTAGGAAATAATTAGAATTATTGTGATATTCCTCTTCTCCATGCACCTGTATCCCCTGATAAAACTCATGATTTTCCGTTATCCCACTAAGTAGATTGGGTTGGATGTAAGAATGTTTCCCATATCATCCATGCTCTTTTCTAATGCGGTGATATGAACAGCTACATACAACTTGGTTATAAGAAATATATTTTATTTTATAGCAAGACATATGCCATGAATTGGGATAAAAGTGCTAGAAACACTACCTAAGAGGTTGATGCTATTTTGTATAAATTGTGTATTTTGTTAGCTTTTTGACTGAGCATGAAAATGTAACTTCCATTAGGGAAGGGTAATTTAGGTGCTCAGTATTCAGCAGAAAACTTGTCGGGCCATAAAAGCTTTTCTGGCTGGTTCCTCGGTGTTTTCAGAGAAGAGCTGCCCACCCCTTGCTGATTTTCCCTTTGGCTTCAGTATGGGCTGAATTTACCACGGCATACCTGTTGAATCAATTTGGGGGATCCAGCAGTTAACTGAGTGAATGGAAGGATTAGTGGCCCTCTGGAGCCCTATTTCAACAGCCAGGTGTCTGTCCTGAACTAGTTAACTGCTTTTGACAGTTGAAGAAGCTGGTTTTAATACCATAGGCAGGAGGTGGTTGTGGTGGTGGGTTTGTTGTTATTGTGCTCAACAGCTCAAATTGTTTTTTTCCCTTCTTCCCTCTACCAAAGTGGAGCATACCTTCTCCTTAGGATTAGGCTTTTATTTGTTTGTTTGTGTATTTAATAGGAATGGACCGTCCCCTTCCCTCAACCCAGCTTCCATGGAGTCTTTGTGCTGAGTCAGCATTCAACTTATTTCCTATCTATGCCAAACAATTGGGTGGCATTATCCAGCAGGAACCTTTCACTGGACCCTGGTAGGGGAGGGGGCGGGACACCCACAAAGGGAGGGAATCAAAGTGTAAGGACACACACACACACACATACACACACTCAGAAGGAAGAGATGAGGCTGTTTAGACCCGAGGTCGGGGGTCCAGTTCCCAGATTCCAGGTATACTCCTCACACCGGATCAAAATCTCCTGAGTTCAAGCTGTATGAAATGTCATAATTATGCAGAGTGTATGTCATAGATTAGAAAGAATGATTTGGAAGTCAGGGTCTCCTTAGAAACTGAATTTAGACAGGGCAAATATGTTTTCCTGAGTGGACTATTTCCAAATTAGGAAGGAGCTTGTTGGTGTTTGACAAACCATTAAGCCTGAAATGCCACTTCTCATTCTATGACTTTGTTTTACCCAGGAAGCTTACTGCCTAGGCTGTAGCTAAAAGCTCACTGTGCTCTCTCTGCCCTGGAAGTCTGCATTTGGAGTCTATATTTTGCCTTTTTTGTCCGTCCTGACTTTTCAATTAATACATTTTTTAAATAGATAAAACAGATCATACTGTGACTTTTAAAATGTCAACAAGCTTGTAAACAGAAATGTAATAAAATGGCTAATAGGAGATTCAATAGTTAATAGAGGGCCTGAAGTGTGAGCAAATACAGTAGCTGTATATTGGAAAATGTGCAAGTGAAGATGGCTTTAGTATTGCAAACTGAGGAAGAAAATTGTTTTTAATTAGCACCTTCATAAGAACTGCTGATTAATACTGTTTTGTTTGGTGAAAAGCTTTCAGCTGAGTAATTTGTACAGCCATTACAACAGTTTTGTTAGAGCGGCACTCCTGTTGTTAAACACAAACAGCAGATGATAATGGTGGAAGATGAGTTTGTCATGTAACAATTTACCTTATTGAAAAAAGCTTTATATAAAACCCAATACAGTAGGTACCAGCAGAAATCACATATTTTAAATCTTTCCAAAATTGCAGTGTGCCATGCAAGTGTGTGTGTGTGTGTGTGTTTTCAGGGACTAGAAGCAGATTTTTTATCATTTATAAAATTATATACACAATTTAAAGGTGGTGTAGCATGGACAGACCACTTTTTCAGCAGCGGTTTTACATCAGAGCAGTAAAGTGGCCGTGTATTCAAACACTAACTACACAAAGCAGGTTAGAAAATGGAATCCTAATTAAATAATGTTACTCAGATGGAAATTTGCATTGGGACGGGATGTAAGGAAATAAGAATTGGTGTTTCTGCCTTAGGTGGGTTTATCACACATGGGATCTTTTTTTTTTTTTTTAAATCTCTTTCTCAAGGGAAGTTTAATTAACCTTCCCCCCAACCCCCTTTGGAGGTGTTCTAACCCACCAGGGAAAAGAGTGCCCATTCAATGAGACTTGACCAGGGAATCAGAGGCTGATTTCAGTGAATTCCCATCATATGGATATTGCCTTAGCCACAAGCATGGGAACTCTTTTTTTTTTTAATAAATTGCAATGGTATAGCATATTTGCATTAAAATATTACACTAACCAAGGCTGGTAAGAACTGTAAATTATTGGAGTGGCGTAATAGAGCATGAGAGATTTTTTTTTTTTTTTTTAGACAGGCCTTCGGGGTAATCACAAGGGTTGAGGCTCACGACAGTGCCAAATAAGCTTTAGACAGCATAATAGTCTGCAAAGAAAGCCACAGAGCACTAATGTGAAGGAAGAGCTGTCCACCACATGCAGCAAAAATCACCAAAGGTCATTTTATGGTAGCAATTGTGACATAAAATTGGTGGTCATGCTACATGTCTAATACTCAGCACAGCTTTATAAATGATGGGCCCCTAGCGATGGCTGTCATTAAGTGCTTTCATCATAATAAACTTTAAACTGTTGGCTTTATGAATCGCCAGCTAGCTTCAGCTGTTCGTTGGATGGAGCTTGCAGTGCCTTAAGTGTGACAAGACCTATTAGGAATTGCAACCATGTTTCAAGCGTACTTGGCTTCCCCACTCCTGGGGTGATTGCTGCCTATTAAAGGCGTCTGGGAAGATTTTCCTCCAGCAATCTCTGATCAAGAGCTTTTTTGGGCTTTGACCTGCATTTCCTTCAAGACTTTCTCTGAGGAGTTTTATAAGAGCAAAACTCCAGAGGATTTATAGCCACTTCTGATTAATACCTTTCCAGTTTTTCTAGCAACTCTCCCACTGCTGCATAGAGAAAAGCTTTCATTGTTGCCGAGGTGCTTATTTGTGACCTTTTTCTCTGCTTCCTGATTCCCTCTAACGTGTTCTCTCAGTGAAATCCTCGGGGTGGAACCGAGACAGTCAAGTGAAGTTGTTACAGCTGGAGAGACAGAAGGAAAAGAGGGAGGCTTTTATATTTTTAAAGAATTACACGCCGCGCAGCCCGGCCCCGCCCACTTAAATACCCGCCGTGACGTCACCCCCCCCACCCCGAACGCATCCTTAATGAGCCCTCGGTGTAAACCGAGCCGACACATAAAGATTTCATGATTCAAATTACACTTTCATTAACCTTTAGCATAGGAAGTCTTTTAGTCTCTATAAATCTTACAGGGGTTTACCGTCTGCCCCACTGATGTGCAAAATAGATGTTTGGGGAACTCGCTCTTTAAAAACCCGGGGTATTTAATTGACAAGGGGCTGCATACCTATTTCAGACTCACTTAGCAAGGACTTTAATTACTTCTTGTCGCTTCTTCTAACTTGGAGGGTGCCTCCTCCCTCCCCAGCCCCCCCACCCCCACCCCCAGATTTCTTCTGCTTGACTCAGATGTTTTAGGGATGACAAAAGCTTCCACCGTCTAAGTCCCTCTCTTAATGGTCTTAGGAGGCTTTCTGTCGAGCCAAGTAACGTCCTAAAGATAGTGAAGGGCATGTCTCAGGTGTGGACCATCACACAATTAAATTAGCAGCCCTCGGAGGGACTGGATTAGGACTCGGCAGGGAACACCTGGGACCCTAGGGCAGAGCCCGAGCTTCCCAAGGGCAGGGCTCCGCTCCGCGGCCCTGAGTCGCGAGGGGTGTCCCCAGATAAAAGTATTGCAGCTGAACTCCCTTTCCCGGGGGGGTGGGGGGTGGGCAGGTTTCCGTGGCGGTCGGAGGGAACAGGAGCCGTCAGAGAACGAGTGAGCCCGAGAGAAACCCAGGTTGGAGGGCTCGCGGCGCCCCGCGCACAAAGGCGCCCGCGCATCCCTGGCCGCGAGCGGCGGCCGCGGGGCACAGGAGCGTCGGGCCGCGGCTGCCCAGGTGCGGGGGCGGGGGCGGGGGCGGGATGCCCCGGAACAAAGGCGCCTCGGGGAGCCTGTGCGGAGGGCCCTCGGAGGAAACGGTGCTGCTCCTCGGGAAATCAATTCGTCCCGCCCTCCCGGGGCACCGCGCCCTCCCGCCCCGGGAGTCCCAGGCCAACGCGCTTGCGGGCCCCTCCAATTCGGTTGTTTCAGCGGGACGGGCTCGAAGCGGCGCCACCCTCCCCTGCCCCCCGACGATCCCTCTCCGCGCTCGCTCCTTGGGGCTCTCCCGCCCCTCTCCCCCCACCCCCACCCCCGGGCTCCTTTGCACCATCAGGCTGGAAGTGGAACTTTTCCCCCACTCCCTTACTTTGAGA